CCACCCCAGGAAGAAGTGGGGAGCATCACACAGCCGGAAATGACTAGCATCTAGGGGCACACACACACTCATGCTGGAGCGGCACAGAGGGCCCATACAGAAGGTAGGTGCTCTGCAGAATGTTCTGGAAGGCCTGCAAAGCAGCCTGGCACAAGCCTTGACAGATGGGCCAGGTGCAGACAATAGCAGCAGCAGCAGCAACTCTTATGTATGGAGTGGTCACTGTGTGCTGGGTATAAAATTGCTAAGCAATTTTCTATCATTATATTATTACACCCAATTTACAGATTCAGAAACTGAGGCTCAGAAGGGGTCACAGAACTAGGAAGGGGCGGGGCCAAGATTCTGGCTCCAAGTCCAACTCGTTACCACCATGCTCGACCATCTCCCTAGTCTGCAGATAGGCAGAAGGTAGGGGTGGTGCTTCAGGTACGGGGCGAGCAAGGGTCAGGAGGTGGGCCTGATTATGGGATGTCTGAGATGTGTTTCCCAGTGTCACTCTGTCCTGAGACCCTGTGTGTGTGCGTGTATGTGTGTGTGGGCTCACGTGTCCTGCTTTACAAACGACAGATCCCAGGTTACGGAGCCCCGAGAGCCAAGGAAAGAAGAGGCCGTGAGTAGAGCAGAGCAGGGAAGGCCAGAGAGGAGGAGGAACTTACAGAAGGTCACACAGCCTGTGCACAAGGTGCTGGAACTAACCCCAAGCGCCAGCATACAGGCCTCTTCCTTCCCCTCAGCTGCTTCTCCCTGTCAGCCGTGAGTGAATCAGCTGCTCACAGGAAGCCCAGGGTGCAGGGGGATCCCCGGGGCGAGTCAGGAACCAGCCAGCCCCCAGACACCAACTGGGCCTGGTACGGAGGCGGGGGCCTGGCTGGCCGCCTCCTCACAGGCAGCATCGGGCGAGGGGAGAGGAGCCACACATCCCACCCCTCTCGGCCGGCCGTGTTTACCTCTGGGCTCCCCTGCCTGGCCCTCAGACCCAGGCTGGAGGGGGAAGCCGGTGTGCAGGGCCGTTCCTGCCGAGATTGAACCGGCCCCTCTGGCCCCTTCCTCGCCCATAGTGGCCCGGCTCTTCCCGCCCACCCGCCTCTCACAGAGCCAGCTCCTGACTGTCTGATGCTCTCGATTAAATGATAACCACCCCTCCGAGCTTCCTTCGAGGTGGAGGAAGTGGGTGTAATGGTTTGGAGCAAGGGGGTCAAGGCCAAGCCCAAACCAGGGGTGCCAGCTGGCCCCAGCGCTCCAAACCCCTCGGAATGCTCCGGGCTCGGGTCTGCTCTGCCCTGGGCCAGGGGAGAGCTGTCTGGTCCTTAGGGGGAACAGGGCTCGGGTCCCTGGGCCGGGGGAGAGGGAGATAAAGACGGGGAGCTTCAAGGCAGTGGCTCAGACGTCTGAGGCCTCAAGAGAGAGGGGACTGTCCCACAGTGCCAACTTCACAGGAGCCCGGGGGAACCAAAACCCACCCCCGATGTGGGAAATGTGTGCCTCTCTCGCTGACCTCTCACCTCTGCCTGCCCTGGGCTGGAGCTAGGAGTGGGAAGCCACACGCAGGATTTCCCACCGCCCCACTCGCAGACCCACCGCGGTCTGCCTCAAGCTCCGGCCACTCGGCCCAGATGCCACGCTCCACGGCAGACACAGGGCCTTCTCGAGCGGCTCCCTCCCTATGACTCTGTAGCTCCCATCTCCCTCCCCAGTGCCCCACCCTCCAATCCAGCACTTTCCTGAGCTCCTGCTCGGCACCAGGGTCTAGGCTGGGTGCCGGAACAGAAAGGAACACGGGGCATTCACTCTCTCTCCCCTCATCGCTCGTCTCCCCTCCCATCCCCCTGACGATGCCTTTTCCATCCCCACGGCTGTTGCCTCTTTCTTCACTACCAGCCACCAACATCCCCCAAGCCCCCAGGGCCCCCTTCCCCATCCCTGCAGCCACGGGTTGATTACCCCTGCCCACTGGGTCCTCCACCCCAGCACATCTGGCACAGGCTGCCTTTCCTAAAGTGCCGCTCTGATGATGTCACTCCCCTGCTCCCAAACCTTCAGTGGCTCCCACTTTCTCCAAATCCAATCCGAAGAGTTCACCTTGGCATTCAAGGCCCTCCACGAGTTGATCCACCCTGCCACTCTCCCTTCATGTCCCTGCGCAGTCCCAACTCTTCAGTGGGGCTGATCGGCCTAGGAGTTCCTTAAAAATTCCCTCAACACTCCGAGCTCCGTGCCTTAGCCTGGCGTTTCCCTCTGCCCAGAACACTGTCTGCACTGTGGCTGCCAAAACCCTCCCAGGCCTTAGGGACCACTCACAACTTCACTGCCTCCGTGAAGCCCTCCTGAAGGCCCCTCTAATCTTTTCTTCTCTGATCTATGAGAGTCATTGGGATCCTTGTCCAGACGGTAAGCAACCAAGGATGGGGTTAGTGTGTCACCGTGTGTCATTCATCATGTGGGTGATGGGTGGTGGGGAAGACTTTCCAGTAGTTGCTTACTAAGCACCGTTTGAAATGAACATCTGTGGGGCCGGCCCGGTGGCACAGCGGTTAAGGTTAAGTTCGCGCACTCCACTTCTGCAGCCCAGGGTTCGCCGGTTTGGATCCCTGGCGCGGACCTGGCACAGCTCATCAAACCATGCTGTGGCAGGCGCCCCATATATAAAGCAAAGGAAGATGGGCACAGATGTTAGCTCAGGGCCAGTCTTCCCCAGCAAAAAGAGGAGGATTGGTGGCGGATGTTAGCTCAGGGCTAATCTTCCTCAAAAAAACAAAAAAAATGAAATGAACATCTTCTCCTCTCCCCACAGGCACCACCTACTGACACCTCTTCCTCCCCACCATACCAAACTCTAATCTTATACCATCCAAACGCTTGGAGAGGGGAGGCTGTGGCCCCCAGCTGATCCAAGCCCAACCAGAACCTGGAAGCCCAGGCAGAAAGTCCTGCTCAAGTCTCACCAACTCCAGGAAGCCCTCCATCCCCCAAGACCAGTTTCTGCAGTGTCTCAGTTCTTCCAAGCAACCCCCCCCCCCCCCCCGGACACACACACATAGCGCAGGCTTCAATCAGACTCTGTGTCACAGTACTTTCCAGCCGGTTCCAAAGTGTAGGGCTCCCCCACCCAGGAGAAGCAGGAAGCCGACACGCACCACTCATCTCCTTTGGTGCCCAACCCTGATGAGACAGATAACTGGCGCCTCACCTCCACCCCAAGCCAAGGGTACAGTGGAATAGCTGGTCTCCAGCCACCAGAGCAGGACAGACCCAGGAAATCCCGTCTGGCCCCGAAGCCTGGGTGTGAGTTATCTTCTCCCGGAGGGGCATGGTGGGGATGGGGGAGCCCTCACTGTCCACAACTCAAAATGAGGGCAGAGCCAGGTCTGGCTAGTTCACCTCTGTATCCCGTTGCTCCATTGAGTAAATAGTAAGGACTCAAGAAACATTTTTGGGGTTGACACCCACAAACGTCAAGCAATATTACAGAAAACGCAGCCACTCTGGGGTCCAGATGACACACTCCCCAACCCTGAAATGGACAGAGTGATGCTGGCGGCAGGTGGCAATTTCTGGCTCTCACAAGGTCCGGAGGGGCCACAGCCAGCCTCCAGCTCTCCAAAAACTGGCTCATTCCCAGGCAGGAAGCCAGTCCGTCACCTGCCCATCCACATCAGAGCAGCTGTCATGTTGCAAGGCCTCACAGAGTGCCTGGCGCCTTGCTCAGCACTATATGAATGTTATTCTATTTAGTCCTCACTACTGCCATTGGGTACCGACATTACCTCCATTTTACAGATGGGGAAACTGAAGCTCGGAGGGTGAGTGGAATCCAAGTCAATTTGGTCCCAAAGCCCAAACCCTTGACTCCTGCACCAGGCAGCCTAGGTAGCATGGCCCTGGCACCGAGCACCCGCCACCACCAGGGACAGAAACCTCCAGCCAAGGAACTAATCCTGGGCAGGCAGCGAGAGCCGGGGGCCCTGGGCTTGGGTCCGGGCCCAAGGTTTGGTGGGGAAATCCCCACGCACCCGGATAAGAATTTGTCCCCTGGTTTCTGCCCCGGGCCTCCCAGGCCAGCTCACCTGGAAAAGCCCCAGGACGGGGACAAAAGCCCCGCTGAGTTTCCAGCCTGAACTCGGCCTGGCTCTCAGTGTTGGGGGAAAGGTGAGACCCACACCTCCCTGACTTGGGCTCCCCCTCCCCAGGGCTTGTGGGTCCAAGTCCCTAGTGTGACAAGTGTGACCTTTACAGCAACTCGCGGCTCGCTCACGGAGAGCTGGTTTTGCTCGGGCCGCTCGGCAAGGCGAGAAGCTGCAGCCCGGGCAGCGCCATCTGAGTACCTGTGGCTGAACTGCAGCCCGCTCTCACCTGCCAGCGCTCACCTTCCGGGGTTTTACTGAGAAAGGGCGACGGGACCATGGCGTCCACCTGGTTCAACCCCCTCCCTTTACTGGAACCTGAGAGGTCCAGAGCCGAGTCGGGACACGGGCCCGGGGTCACGCAACTGGTGAGCCGGAGAGCCGGGGCTCAGGACTCGGGGATTTACGTTCCTTCGCACCCGCCAGCTGCCTCCGTGGCCCGACCTGTCACTCGTTCCGAGAAAGCTGCCCGAGCTGGCTCTGGACACGGGGGCGGAAACTAACTCTGCCGCCGCTCGGCCGTCCGGCCTCCCCCCGGCCCCACTCACCTGCTGGCTCTGCTCTCTGCTCGGCGCTGCAAGCCCGGCGTCGCCCGCTCGCGCCCCGGTCAGCGTCCGACTGCGCAGCCCCGGGCTGGGTCCCCCGGCCGTCCCCCTCCTGGTGGCCGTCGGGGAACTCTGCGGCCTCGGCCAGGCCCCGCCCCCGCCGGAGGCCCCGCCCCGAGCACGCCCCCTGGGCTCCCCGCCTTGCGCCCGCCAGCCCCGCCCCCGGCCCTGCAGGAATGCGGCCGGTCTCCGCCCCCACGGCCTCCTGCCCCGCCCCCGGCCCCGGTGGGGCCCCGCCCCTCGCCCCGCTAGGGCCTCCCCGACCTATCCCCGCCGGCCCGACCCCGGCCGCGCCTCCCGGCCCCCAGCTCTGCCCCAGTAGAGCCTGGGCCCCCGGATCGGACCCCGTTGGGTGGGAAGCCCCACTCACAGCGCTCCCGAACGGTGCCCCCCTCCTCGGCCTTCCTCCTCTTTCTCAGGCCCCTCCCTCCGCCCCCGCCTCGGTCCCCTTCTCCTCCGGGCCTCCCCCGCCCCCTGGCCCTCTGAGGGGAGGCCACGCCCCTTCCCAGCCCAGCGCCTCCCCGATCCCGACGCGCCCGGCCGCCCCACCCGCGGCGGGCAGTCCCGGCCCCTGGCTGGCATTCCAGGGCGGGTGCATCCGGTGCAACCGGCGAACGGCGTGGGAGCGGCTGGCGCTCCAAGGAGGCCGCTATCAGCAGGCAGCCTGGGCCCAGGCGCTCTCTCAAAATCCTAACGGCTGCCACCGATTGAACCGTCGCCAGGCTCCGGGCTCCGTGCCAAGCGCTGTCAAAAGGACTGGCCCTTGAACTGGCGCAACTCTATGCAGATGGGACTCCTGTGGCCCCCATTTTAGCGATGAACAGTCTGAGGCTTAGAGAAGGGACGTGGTGGCCTCTGAGTCTGCGCTGCAGGTGAGCGGGATCCAGCCCCGGGTCCAGAATCACAGGCTGGCGCCGGCCCGGCTTGCCCGGACTGGCCCCTGGAGAAGAGGCCGGGCCAGTAGCGGTTGCGCCTGAGGTGAGGGAGGAGGCGTGGGTGGAGGAGGGGCTGCGGGCCTGAGCCCTCAGAGGCTGCCTTTCTCCCTTGAGAAGTGGCTCAGAACTAAGATGGGCTGCAGAAGATCTCCTGGTGGCTGTGGTGCCCCGACCTGCATCCCAGCCCTTTGCACCCCCGGACCCCAGGACCAGCCTCCGGCGGGTGACTCAGTTATGACCAGGGCCTTTCCCCTGGGCAGCTGACAAAGCTCTTTCGCTCCCATGATCTCGGCGGCGTCTCACAGGGCCGCGGTTGCGGGGAATTGGGAGCGTGGGATTACTCCCCGTTTGCATGGCTGGAGTCGGCAGGGAGCCGGCTGCATCCCAGCCCGGCGCGGCGGTTCCCAAGGCCTGGTCCTGGGACCGGCAGGAGCAGCAGCTGCGATCTTGTTCGGAATGAGTGGGGTCACGTCGGGGACATCCCCATGAGAAACTCAGGGGGAGGAGCCTAGCCGTTAGCTTGGACAAGGCCTCCAGCTGATTCCGAGTCACACTCCAGCTTGAGAGCCCCTGTTTAGCATCATGGTGAAGCAGTCAGGGTGGTCTGAGAATCGCAAAGCCCAGGTGGCCTGCTGGGAGCCTTGTGACCCGAGACGAGGCAAGGTACCTAACCTCGCTGGGAGGAGCCCTCAGTTAATCCCACGGGCGCTTGCAAGGCTGTGAGGACTCGCTGGTGGTGCTCATGAAGCGACCGCCCCATCTTGGACACTGTGCGTGCTCAAATGCGTTCTCTTTCCAGTGAAAAGTCTCCTTCACAGAATCTCCACGGCAAGTCCGGGGAGTGTGGCTGGGGAGTCTTTGAGCCCAGCCGTGTCCCACTCTGCTGTCCTTCCCACGGAGGGACCATCTTTCCCTCAAGGGCCTCGCAAGGTGCCAGATGATGTCGATGCTGCTGGCCCAGGCCCACGCTTTGAGAACCACTGTGTTGTTCCGTCTTGGGCTGGGGCCATAGCCAAGCCATGCAAAATGGGCATAAAATACCGTCCTCTTCTCCCCCGCCAGAACGCCCCCCCTCCAGCTGAGGGTGTTGTGATGGTGAGTGGCAGTTGGCAGAACAGCTGGATCCCACCAGCACCCCCCCGCCCCAGGCGCACACTCGCTCACATTAGTCCCACCTGCTACCCTTTCCTGTCCCTGTCACTCCAGATTAGCGATGGTGGCAGCTGTGGCCACACGGAGGGCAGTGTGCAGGCAGCTCCTGGAATCTCTGCCATACTCCCCCACCATCCTTTCAGCCCGGTAGAAGGTCTTCTCATAGGAGCTCCTGGCCTGGGCCGCTGGTCCTATTATCCTGTAGAATGCCCCTAACACGTGCATGGCGAAAACAGAGCCCCTCTCCTTTCTACCTCAATGGTTAGCGGACTGTAAAATAAAATATGCTTATTCTCCTGCCTTGAGAAACATTCTTGATGATGACCCAGAGGGCCATGTGCAAATTTAGAACGCTTGGACTCTGGAATGCTATTCAGGAACATGGCGGTGTCGGGTGGGTCAGCCCTGACCCCAGCCCTCAGCCCACCCAACCCAATTCTTTCTAGACCCATGTCTGTCCTGTGTCACAAGTGGCCCAGGACTCAGGCGTGTGAACACCCCAGCCCACATACCCATCTATCCACATGCCTTGCCTCCAGCTGTCACTCGGTCAGTCCTCTAGGAGTGGCCCCGGGGGCACATTGTACCCTCAGAAGGATGGACCCAGGGAAGTTGCTTGTGTAAGCCCTAAAACTGGTCTCGGACCGTTGAGGCAGAGATTCCCAGGGTTTCAGACACCGGAAGCGTGATGGAGGACGGGCATGGGCATGCAGGCTCTGAGTGGACACAGGTGGCCCTCTCACCCAGGTCTATGGGTGGCGCACCTGTTTGGCCTTGTCGCCCCAGCGCCTGGCACAATGCCTGGCACATATTGGGGGCTTGAGGGACAGTCGCTGAGTAGCTGTGTGTCTGAGTTCTTCACTGAAATATCAAACGGGGTTGTTTCTCCCAGCATTCCCCTTCCAGCAGGAGTCCGGCTTCGTCATAGCGCACCTGGGGCACTTGGCCAGGCAGAGAGCAGAGCCGGCCCCGTGGGAGACCGCTCCCATTTTTTGTGAAATCCTTCGTCCATTCCAGAGGTGAAGCCGGGAGTTCTGGAGGTGAGAAAAGGGGCATGAAGAACCATCTAGAAAGCCTTGAGAGAAGGTGTCAAATGGCCAACTTGGACGTAGGGGAGATGGGGGTATGGCAAGACCTCAAGAGGGGATGGCCATGGGGTTCCCAGACTCTCAGAAGATTCCCCACCCCAAAGGTGGCCCGGGGGCTGCAGGGCAGGAGGCCTGAGGGTCCTTGTGGGCAAGAACATGGGTGTCGGGGGTCTCTTTAGTGCCTGGGCCAAGGTGAGGCCCCCAGACCGTTTGCACAACTCTGAGGGGAGGGAGAGAGGGAAGGAGGGAGAGGGGTGCATCTGTTTCCCATGGCTGTGTAACAAACCGCCCCATCCTTTATTTAGCCCATAAATCTGCAGGTTGCGGGGGTGGTTCTGTGGGGAAGGCTCGGCTCTGCTCTGTGCAGTGTCAGCTGGTTCAGCCGGAGCTTGAGGATCCATTTTCAAGATGGCGCAGCCACATGGCTAGCAAGTTGGTGCTAGCTGTCAGCTGGGAGCTCGGCTCAAGCTGGGGCGCAAGGCCTTGGTTCTTCTCCAGGAGCCTCCTGCACAGGCCGCTGGGCTTCCTCACAGCAAGACGGCCGGGTTTCTAGAATGAAGAGAGAACAAGCTAGAAGCACATGGCAGCTCATGACCTAGCCTCAAAGTCCTGTCGCATCACCTCCTCTGAATTCCGTTAGAGGAGGCGATCACACCCCCCCCGGTGCAAGGGAAGGGGACATGGTCTCCCTCTCTGGATGGGGGTTGGCAAGTTCTAGAAGAGCTTTCAGGACAGAAGATAGTGTTGCAGATATTCTTGCTGGCTGGAGACTCAATCTGGAAAATACGATCTGCCCCAAGAGGGTCCTCAGAATGACGAGTAGAAATTCCTCTGGTGGGAGCTGAGAGTCTGAATTGAGCTGATTTAGAGAAGAAACCATGCAATATCTCTCACACGACCATTTGTGCACAAAAGAATAAGAAGTGTGGTAGTGGACAGTGAGTCTTGAGATTTTCCTTCTTCAGAGTGTCCTCGGGCGGAGTGGGCACCTCCCTGCCCTCCACCTGCACTGTTTCCGTGAAGCTAGAAACTTAAATAGCACCCATGTGATCCTCAGAGCGGCGACCTCCTGAGGTCATACTGTTGTGATGCTCGCTTCCGAGATGTGGAAATGGAGGCACTGAGAAGGTAAGTAACCTGCCCAAGGTCAGACAACTGGTAGGTGACAGAGGAAAGAGAGATGGCAGTTTGTAGGCACCCCAGTTTTCAGTTGCAGAAACTGAGCCCCGGGGAAAGGGCCCAAGTTGAGCAGGGCGCAGGGACCCCGATCTGAGCACCAGCTCTGAGCCGTGTGGTCTATCAGAGCTCCCTCCCGGGGCCTGGAAGGGACCCTGCTTCCTGCTTGAGGAAGAGGCTGGCCCGAGGAGCTGGGCTCCAGCCTTGCTTGGCACACGGGCTCGGTCCTCTTGCTGGGTCTCGGGCCGCGAGTGTTAGTAGCGGTGTCTCGAGCCCGGGTCTGTTCCTGCGGGTGAGGGGGCTCAGCAGGGCCGCGACCTTTCCTTTCTTCTCCAGAGGACTGAAGGACCTGAACTCTAAGCCCCTTGGGGCTGGGCTGGAGCTGGGACGGGACCCACGTTCCCGCCAGAGGCTGAGCCATTGCTCCCTTCCTGTCTCGGTCACTGAACAGAGACCCTTCAGACCTCTGCTCTGAGCCCACCCTGCCGCTGCTGCATCCGAAGGCCCAGGGCTTAATCCCCCCAGTGCCGGCCTCGGGGCTTTCGGCTCAGTGGGGACGCTGACCATAAACCAGTGCAGCGGTGCCCTGCCCTGCGATGCTGCCATACCAATAATGACGACAACAATAATAGTACAGCCTTTGTTTTCAAAGCAAACTGTTACCATGGACCAGACATTTAAAAAATGACTTTGAGTATATTTAACTAATTTGATAAGAAGCCTTTGCGTTGTGCTTTTTTAAAATTATTTTTTAACAACTGTGGCATTTGGGTGACTGGAACTATGCAATGATGTCTCCCTACCCACAGTTCCTTGTTACAGCTGTCCTTTTCCCCGTTTGGGCATCAGCTCTGCCCCATGACAGGGGTTGGGCACCCCAAACAGTCGTGAGCCCACACCCCAATGTGTGCTGATTTATTTATTTATAATTGACATGCACGCACGCACTAATTTGCTAGCCATTTTGCATATTCTGAACCATACACAAAAACTTTTTAAAAACAAGATAAAAATGATTTAAAATATTCAATATAAGCAAAGATAAAGATAAATACAAAGCGATCTTATTATTTCCTCCTTGAACCTCAGTAGATCCCATTGGAGACCGTCTACCGTGGCGTCCACACCCCCAGGGAAGAATCATTGGAGCAGAAAACAGACGGCTCCTCTGGGCAGCCATTTTCAGGGTCTCCTGATGCTCCGTGGTCCCAGGAATAGATGGGGAGATGTTGCCGAAAGCGGGGCTCTCACCCCTTCATTGGGTGGAGCTGCCCTGACCCAGAGATCCTCCCCTGAATCAGGCCCGTGGTTAGAAAGAACACTCCTGAGGCCCAAGAAGCTGACGGTGTAGTGTAGACATCATTCCCATCATACGGTTGAGAACGCCAAGGCTCAGAGAGCTGAGTGGAAAAAGTTTTGAATTTGTCACCAGCATTTCAGAATTGGGGAATTTTCACATTAGTGTTTTAATGTACAGCTTCTGTTGGAAACCAGAAAAGTCCAAACACCCTGATGTGTGTCCTGACGGGGCCACAGCCGGCTGGACCCAAGTGTGGCTTCCCCTTCAGTTGTAATGTACACCCTCCAGCTGGCCACAGTCCCCACCACTCCCTATTGCACACCCAGCCTGCTTCCCGCGTTTCTGTGACCTGCCTGCTCCCTGTGGGCAGCTGAGTGTGCATTCTTGGGCTCAACTGATGTTCTTGAATTGACGGTCGTCCTGAGATCTCGCTGAGGAGCAGAGCCACAGACCGCTGCAGGGAGACGGAGACGCTGCGTTCTTCTCTTCCCTTCTCTCCGTGACCCCCCTGAGACAGCTGCAGTGTTAGCACAGCCCGCCCCTGTGAGCGATGGGTTGGGCTCACGTCCCAGTCGGCTCGCTTTCCAGCCATGGGACCTTACGCGGGCATCTTCCCCTCGCCAGGTCTGCTTCCTGGCCTGTGAGCTGCAGGCCGCGCACACACAGCGTCTGCTGCTTTAGGGCCCTAAGAGGACCAGCTAATTCCAGTTGGTTCCTTTCACCATCAGAAATGGAGAGAAAAAACCAAAACTCCTCCATGCTCTTCCCTCCAAAACGAGCGTGTGTCGCCCTCTGGTGTCCACAGCGCTCAGTGCAGCCTCGAGAGAGGAGAGGAAAGGCTGGGGGTAGGGGGTCCCCACGGGGTCCTGCCCTCGGGTCAGCAGAGCAGAGCCCTGGCACGAGGGCCAGGCAAGCGCAGAGGGGGATTAGTCTCTCTAGCAGGTTCCAACTGCAGATTCCCCACCCAGCCCAGGCCAGGAAGCTTGGTGTGGGACCTATGAGCCAACTCTGGCGGGCCCACAGTCCCTGGGGCACGTGGAGGCCTCGAGGACCCGGTGACTCTTATTTCATTGTGGCAATGAAATCATAGTGACCACAGTAGGCTTTATAGGCACAGGAAGTAGAGTCTGGTTGTTTATGCAGCAAAATTTACTAAAAGGCGCTAATGAAGCCGCTGAGCCATTGGGTGGGGAGTTGGGGCGGGCTGGAGGTCGGGCCTACACTCAGTTTCCAGAAGTGAGGCCTCAACTATACCGCAGAGCCGGCCTGAGAAGACAGCTGTCACTGTCCCCATCCTCCATCCACTGTGCCTCCGCCCCAGGAAGGCAGCCGTGCGACCCCGGGGAGGCAGCGCCCGGAGGTCCCCTCGGCCGCACCAGCAGCACTCCAAGGCTCCTCGCAGAGCCGGTCGCCCGAGTCCAAGGCTTGCGTGGGAGAGTCAGCCCGGAGGAGCCTGGAATGTCGCCCGCGGGCCGGCCGCCAGCAGGGCTGGGAGTTTAGAGGTCGATGCCGACGCCCGGAGGTCGTGGCAATGGGGGACCTCCTCACGTATGGAAAGACCATGCTAAAGATGCAGGGCAGCCATGACTGGGACACGTGTCCCCCTGCCGATGGGGGCCCTGCGCGCTAGGCCCTGGCTTTATCTCACCTGGCTCAGCCTGACCCTCTGAGGGAGGAGCAGTGACGGTCCCTGTCCTACAGAGAAGGAAACTGAGGCTCAGAGAGTTTAGATAATTTGAGTAAGACCTCACCACTGGTAAGTGGCACGGCCAGGAGCGAGCCAGGACTGCCTGACTCTGAAATCCAATAAACATGCTACGCCGCCTGCCCAAAGTGCCTCCTCGGTCAGGACTCGTCGCGTTAACTGAGGACGAGCCATGGCGTCCAGAATGAGGGCCTGGAAAGGGCTTCAGAAGCAGCTACCTGCCCGCCTCTCCGGGCTGCCCCTTGGCCGTGTGGTCGTCACTTCTGTGCAGTCAGGCTGCAGTAACAAAGGACCCCCACGTTCTCTTGACTTGGAACCACAAAGGTGTATTTCTCATTTCTGTTGCGTGGCCACTGAGCACGGCCGTGGGTCGGGTGAGCCCTGCTCCTTGCGTCTCCCTCATTCCTAGGTCCAAGGTGAAAACTTGGCCCCTAAGGGGGAGATGCTCTTCTCAGTCGCATGGCCCCAGAGCTTCTGCTCAGATGCGGCGTCTGTCCCTTCCGCCCGCATGCCAATGGTTAGAGCGAGTCACACAGCCGAGCGACACCTCCGTGGAGGTGGGGCTGCTGGGCACAGGACAGTGGGCGGGGCTGTCTCGTCTCACAGGGACGGGAGGGGGTGACGGGGAACAAGAGCACGCCCTCAGCCCCGAGAGCTGGATTCTAGGTCGCGGGGTTACCACAGACCCCAGTTACAGGGCAACTGAGTGAACAAATGGTGCTTCATGCTCTCATTGACTAGAATGCATTTTTGCATCTCACAAATATTGCTGAGGGCCTACTGTGTGCTGGGCAATACTCTACCTTGGAGGAGACAGCAGTAAACAAAACAGTCAAGGGCCCTGCCCCCTTGGAGCTTCTTACCTTCCAGTGGAGGACAGATAATAGTATATAATACGTGAGTGGTGATAAGTGGGCTGGAGAAAATTGAAGCACAGTGAAGGGTAGGAAGTTTCTAGAAGAGAGAGGCTGTTTTGTATAACAGGTCAAGGAAGACCGTCTGAGGAGGTGACCTGTGAGCAGAGACCTGAATGAAGTGAGGGAGTGAGACCTGGAGGATACCTGGGCAGAGGAGTGGCATGTGCAAAGGCCCTGAGGCTGAAGCAAGGTTGGAACAGAGTGTGTGAGGGCTGGTAATAGGAAGTGAGCCAGAGAGGTGGCAGGGACAGCTGGTGGAGGGCCTTACGGGCTTGGGCTTCTGCTCAGAGGGAAGGATGGGAGCAGGGGAATAGCATGACATGACTCATGATTTATGGGGTCCCTCGGGCAGCTGGGTTGAGAATAGAGTGTAGGGGGGCAAGGTTAGAAGAGGGGGAACCAGTGAGGAGGCCACCGCAATAATCCCGACCTGGCCCACGGTGGCCCACTGAGCATTCAGAAGCACTTTTGTCAATTTATTTATATTCCCCAGAGCAGCCCACAATCACGAGGAGAGGAGACGAGAAGGCATCGCCGATAAAGGCAAGAGGATGGAACTGTGGCAGACAGAGACAGGGAAATTCTATCTCTGAAAAGCCCAGTTACAAAAGCTCCAGTGAGCACGAAACTGAGGGCTGGAAATGTGGCAATAGTCTGGCTCCGTGCTCTCCGGAGCCAGCTGTGCGGTGACGACATCTTCACCCTGTGTGGACGTGCCTGGGCTCCCCTGGGCTGGCTCAGCGGGGAGGGGCTTCGGGCCGCACGACCCCTTCCCCCGGCAGCTCTGCTCTCAACTGTTTCCAACTGTATATCAGAATAAGATTTCTTCCAAAGAAAGGGTGATAGACACACACCCCCCATGAAAAGATTGGAACATTTTGAAAAAAATGTTTACCGAAAATGTGCTCTCTGACTAATGAACAGGAAGCCTGCTCTGATGTTTCTGTAGGAAAACGGCATAAGAACGTTTGCGCTTCCGGGGGATCCGGTGAGAAGACTCGAGCGAGCGGTAATTGCATCTCGATGGTTCTTCCTGAAGGTGGACATCCAGAGTCCACGCTGCGTGGTGGGCCAGGAACCACTGCTGTCGTCTTCCCCACGCTGTGAGGTGTGAATGTTTTGTATGAAAGAGGAAAACCCTGTGGAGAAAGAAGGTGAGCCAGGAGACCGAGGAAATCTAATCCAGAAAATAATCTAGAAAGTTTGCCAATGAAAGAAATGAACGGATGAGGCCATTCGCTGGCCGCTCGTGTGGCTCCATCTCCGGCACATAGTTTTTTCCATGTATGAGAAAACAACGATTATAAACGTGTTGTTGGTTCTGGAAATCAGCACATTCTTGAGCCCAACGTGGGGTTTTTGGCCAACCTAGAGAAGCAGTTGAGGGATGACCGACAACCTGCACCCACTGAGGGGCCCCTGATCGCCGGGTCCACACGGCGTGCGCCCAGCGGACAGGCAGACCCACTAATGTCAACTGGTCTTGGACAAAGGAGCAGAGGCAATACAAGGCAGCAAGGACAGTCTTTTCAAAAGATGCTGCTGGAAGAACTGGACATCCACATGCAAAAAAAAGAGAAAAGAATCTAGACACAGACCTTACACTCTTCACAAAAATTCACTCAAAATCGGTCACAGATCTAAATATAAAATGCAAAACTATAAAACTCCTAGAAGATAACATAAGAAAGCCTAGATGACCTTGGGTATGGAAATGACTTTTTAGATACAATACCAAAGGCACAATCCATGACAGAAATAATTAATTGATAAGCTGGACTTCATTAAAATTAAAAACTTGTGCCCTGTGAAAGGCAATGTCGAGAATGAGAAGACAAGCTGCAGAGTGGGAGAAAATATTTGCAAAAGATACGTCTGATAAAGGGCTGTTATCCAAAATATGTAAAGAACTCCTTAAACTCAACAATAGGAAAACAAACAATCCAATTAAAAAATGGACCAAAAACCTTAACAGACACTTCACCAAAAAAGATACACAGATGGCAAGTAAGTAGATGAAAAGATGCTCCACATCATATGTCATCGGGGAATTGCAAATTAAAACCACAGTGAGATACCACTGCACGGCCATTAGACTGGCCAAAATCCGGAACTCTGACAACACCAAATGCTGACAAAGATGCAGAGCAACAGGAACTCTCATTTGTTGCTGGTGGGGATGCAAAGTGGTCCAGCCACTTTGGAAGACAGTTGGGCAGTTTCTAACAAAACTAAACAAACTCTTACCAGATGACCCAGCAGCCGCATTCCTGGTATTTATGCAAAGGAGTTGAAAACCTAAGTCCACACAAAAACCTGCTCACAAATGTTTATAGCAGCAGTATTCATAACTGGCAAGATGCAGAAGCAACCAAGATGTCCTTCAGAAGGTGAATGAATAAACTGTGGTACGACCAGACAATGGAATAGTATTCAGCGCGAAAAAGAAATGAGCTGTCAAGACATGGAGGAAACTTAAATGCATGTTACTAAGTGAAAGGAGTCAATCTGAAAAGGCTGCATGTTTTACGAAGCCAACTCTATGCCATTCCGGAAAAGACAAAACTACGGAGACAGTGAAAAGCTCAGAGGTTGCCAGAAGTTGACGGGGTGGGTGGGGAGGGGTGAACGGGCGGAGGACAGAGGATGTTCGGGGCAGTGAAAAGACTCTGATAACGTAATGACAGTCACGTGCCATTGTACATTTGTTTAAACCCACAGAAGGTTCACCACCAAGACGGAGCCCCATGTAAACTGTGGGCTCAGGGTGACACCCATGAGTCAGTGTGGCTCATCAAACGTCCCACCGTGTGGGGGATGCGGACAATGGGGGGCTGCGCGTGTGTGAGGGCAGGGGTGTGTGGGAAATCTCTGTTACCTTCTCCCCATTTAGCTGTGAACCTAAAAAGCTCTAGAAAATTAAGTCAATAAAAAAGTAAAACAAAGAAGAGCACGACTCAGAGAATTGCCTCAGGCTGTAAACAGTGAGTGCTGGAGCCCAAATGAGAAAATACGGCTTCCCGACTCCTGATTTCATTGTCCTAACCCGTCTTTCAAACAATAACGTCAAAGGTTAACTTCAGGCCACTAGGAACGTGTTTTAAGAAGCAGAAGCAAAAATCGCTTTCTGCCAAGACCTCTCCCTGCCGTTCTAGAAACCCGCCCTGGTGCTCGCTGGGGCGCCAAGTCTGCGGTGTTGGGGCCGGGTCCTCACCTGGCCACCCTGCCTGGTCCAATCCAGAAGCGAGTAGTCTGTTTCTGGAGCTGGGGCCCTTTGCAGCCTCTAGTGGAAGAAAACTTGCTGGTTCACCATGAAAGGCCACCTTTTTCCTGGATCTGAGACGAATTTGTTTGCAGGTCTTTCTATATAGGGACATGGGGCCATACAATGAACTTTATCCATGATAGCAGTGTTTAAAAGAATGTTGTCTGAGTTCCATTTCAAAAATTTCCAGGTTATGCCCTTAAAAGGGCAGGAGACTGCCTTTCCCTCCTTCTCCCACCCTCACCCTCCACATTGCTACTAGCTGGAATACAGATGTGATGGCTGGAGTTGCAGCAGCCATTTTAGACCTCAAGATAGCAGCCAAATGTTGAGAAGGCTGAGCAGCAAAGACAGAAGGCACCGGGGTTTCAACTGTGTATTCAGCTGGGTCCACTCACCTAAGAGAGAGAAATCAATTTTAGCAGGAGCTCACGATGACCACCACCACAATCACCCTTACCAGCCACATCATCAGTGTCACCAATGATGTCATCAGTGTCACCACCAATGCTATCACTGTTCTTACCATTATAATCCACTATCACCACCCTCACAAACACCACTACCATCCCCATCACTTTCATCATCATCACCATTGTCATCATCATCTTCGCTGCCACCATCACCACTGCCACCACCATCAGTGTCACTGTTAACAACGTCATCACCATCATCGCTGTCTTCATCCACATCATCAGAATCACCGTCAGCATCTGTTTTACCAGCAGCAGCAGCATTAGCATCACCATCGCCACTCATGGAGTGACACAGTAGAGAGGGTGGTCAGGTCACAGTGCCAGGAGGAATGATGTCCGCTGGGCAACACTGTTGCTGCTGCTACAACTGTCATTAATATTACCACTTACCATTTCCTCAGCGCTCGTGTGCCAGGCCCTGTGCTGTGGGCTTTCCACAAATTATCGCATCCTGAATGAGCCCATTTTACCGATGAGAAAACTGACACTTAGAGAAATAGAGTCTAAGTCGCTCGTTCGAGGTGAGACAGCCAGGAAGGGACAGAATTAGCGTGTGGGCCCAGGCGTTCTGACTCTGGAGCCCTTCTCACCTTGACGAGATGGCTCAGTGAGTAGACAAGGCTGCTGGTGTCTGATGTCAACCCGCTGCCTCCCCCAGAGGAGAGTCTGGCTGGATCTTGGGGACCTCACTGCTTTGAACGACATTTTTCTCACGTGTAAGGTGAAGGCAATGAAAAGAGTGGTCGTTCTGTCTCACGAGATTACAAATGGTGTGTGTGAAATTTTTGGCGTAATAGTTAACATTTCGTAGTGACCTAATAAGTAGTAGCTTTTATTAATATACTAGTTAGTAAGAATGGAATCCAGATCCTTATCTCGATGGACAGAGACCCCTCTCTGGCCAGTGGGTGTGCCCAGAAGAGATGTGTCAACTTCTGTGTCCTTACAGGAGATGACAGAGCCCGTCTCATCCGTGTCCGCTATTTTCACTGCCTGGAAAGGACGCGACAGTGGGACCCAGGCAGCTTCCCTGGACTGTGAGTGGGAGCTGCCTGCTGAGGGTGAGGGGGACACGGGAAGAGGGCCGGGGTCTCCACCAACCCCAAGCAGCCAGCCGGCCTGGCCTGAGAGAGAGGTGTCCATCCTGCTGAAGCCCCTGGGTGTGGGGCTTGCTAGCAGCAGGGTAATCTGTGTCACCGCAGTTTCTCTTGGAGGGGTTCACTCAGTTTACACGGATTCTGAGGGTGGCCTTTCTCCCAAACTCATCTTCAAATGCTAGGGCCCCAGACTCAGGTCCTCCTTGCCTGAAGAAAACTGTCCTCTCTCCTTCCATGGCCGGCTCTGAACAAGGGACGGCCCCTGTTTGAACCCCCCACCCCCCCAGCACCATCTGTAAAGGGGAAAGACTGAGCTCGGCCTCACTGAGGAATAGGGCAGATGAGTGGGGTCACAGGGCAAGGGCTCTGGGCTTACAAGAAGGATGAAATTCAAGAACAGACGACGACGATGACAACAGTGAGGGCAATGGTGATGCTTACATTGGTGGCGGTGTTGGAGATTCTGGTTTCTGATGGTAAGGGTGGTAATGGTGATGATAATGGTGGAGATGATGGTTGTAACAGTTATAGCGAGGATGGCAGTGGTATTGATGGTGTCAGTGGTGCCATTGATGGTGGTGGAGGTGGTGATGACAAAGGCAATGACAATAATGCTGCTGATGGTGTAATGATGATAGTGATGGCGACGGCTATAGTGATGAGGAGGAGAGTGATGGTGTGAGGAGAGGTAATGGGGCTCACGATGCTATGACACTGATGATGACTAGGGTGGTAACAGCGACATGAGGCTGCTGCTGCTGGTGAGGATGGTGTGACGGAGACAGTGATGGTGATGATGGTAACAGTACTGCTGGTGCTGGTGGTGATGTTGCTGATGGAGACGACTATAGTGGTGCTGATGGTGCTAGGGAGCAGGATGCTGCTGCTGCTGCTGTTAATGGTGACCCTGATAGGACGGTGGTGGGGATGGTGAAGATCTTGGTGATGGTGGTAGTGATAGTGAAGATCTTAGTGGTGAGCATGGTGATGGTGATAGTAGTGATGGTGGTGGTGTTGAGGATTATAATGATGATGTTGGTGGTGATGGTGGTGATGTTGAGGATTATAATGGTGATGTTGATGGTGATGGTGATGTCGATGATTGTAATGGTGATGTTGATGGTGATGGTGATGTCGATGACTGTAATGGTGATGTTGGTGGTGATGGTGATGGTGATGGTGGTGATGATGATTGTAATGGTGATGGTGATGGTGGTGTTGATTATAATGTTGATGGTGAAGGTGATGGTGGTGGTGATGCTAATGATGGTGGTGTTGGTGATTCTAATGGTGGTGATGGTGGTGGTGTTGATGATTCTAATGGTGATGGTGGTGGTGCTGATGATTCTAATGGTGATGGTGGTGGTGATGCTGATGATTCTAATGGTGATGGTGGTGGTGGTGATGATTCTAATGGTGATGGTGGTGATGGTGATGATTCTAATGGTGATGGTGGTGCTGATGGTGATGATGGTGGTGTTGATGATTCTGATGGTCATGGTTGTGGTGATGCCGATGATTCTAA